ATACTATGGACACTGAAGTCAGACATAAGGTGGGGATCAACTTGCAGCAGAGACACGCGATCAGAGAAAATATGCTGAGGCAATCCATGCAACCCAGGCCTCTCGCCTCATCTCTGCCAATTGCAATAGAGACTCCCACTTGCACATCAACCTGTACAGCTGTAAACCTACCACTTCAGGAACAGATCTATTATTGTCACCTGATACTTTCAGTTGATGAAATGTATGTCAAAATTGCTCTACAATATCATGGAGGAAATTCACTTAGGTTAACTGTACGGTGAATACTGGTTGTTTCTAACTATTTATAAACACTGGTTTAACCCTTTGAACCCTGATCACCGCTTTACCGGTGGTAGAGAAAAATGATGTAATGCCGAGCCACCGGTTGAACGGTGGTAGAGAAAAATGACTTAATACCCAGCCACCGGTTGAACGGTGGGTAAACACTTGTAACTCTTTTTATATTTACCGTGAAACATTACATACCAATGATTTACGAATTTTGCCTCAGGAGCTCAAGCAGAAGGGTTAAAATTGTTCAGTAACGCAGCGCTCAAGGGGTTAAGAGAAGAAATATGTTCCACAGAAGGTTCATTTGAGCAATGAGGAAGTTTTAATGAAAATGGAGCGAGTCACATATGCAGTGTTCAGAAATGCAGCGCTCAAGGGGTTAAGAAAATATGTTCCACAGAAGGTTCATTTGAGCAATGAGGAAGTTTTAATGAAAATGGATCGGGTCACATGTGCAGTGAGAAATTTGTAAGGAAAATTGGACTGTAATGGAACATACTGAAGGCAGGAGGTGCAGAGGGGACAAGCGGGAGACTTACAAGACGAGTTTCTGCAAATGAATGGCAGAAGAGATACTTGGACAGATATTAGTGGACAAAAATTGCTAGAACTTCAAAGATTAGGAGAGCTAGAAATTGCAGATGTCGAAATCAAGCAAGTATAAAAGTTCAACTGTCTAGGAGGGGGTTTAACAAACGGAGGAATATGTGACATCGGAATTAGAATACAAAAAAAAAGCGCCTTCTAAAAGCTAAGCAAAGTATTAAAACAGGAAAATTCCTTTAGAATCAAAGAAAAGAGTGCTGAACAGCTATCTAATATCAGTCCTCCTCTAGGGTAGTCTATGTTGAACAATTTCCTCATGGCTTGACCAAACTAAGCAAAGTATTAAAGCATACAAAAATATCGTTAGAAGCAAAGAAAAGAGTGCTGAACTGCTGTGTAATAACGAATATCATATATGGCAATGAATACTGGACAATCTCTTCATGCCTTACATAAAGTAAGCAAAGTATTAAGACAGGAAAATATCATGAGAAACAAAGAAAAGAGTGCTGAGCTGCAATGTAATATCTAATCTATATGGCAGTGAATACTGAACAATCTCCTCTTGCCTTCCATAAACTAAGCAAAGTATTAAGAGATAGGAAAATATCATTAGAAACAAAGAAAAGAATACTGAACGGCTATTTAATATCAGTTCTTCTCTAGGGTAGTGACTGTTGGACAATTTCCTTAGAGATATCTGTCTATATCTCTGAGATGAGGTATTATGATTACTTGCATTATTTACAATATTCGGACTGTTATCCTAATCTTCATTGCCATCGTCACAACGTTTCGGACGTTATACGCTCCGGACTTCTTCAAGTGGTTGAAATTTCGAACCGAACCCATTATTTCGTCCACCGGGGTAGATGGTTCTAGTTCCACGTCCCATGCCTCTTCCAGATGTCTCAGTTATTTCTCTTTAAGTCAACTCTCCAGGGATTTTAGCTCACTACTGCTTACAGTTTACAAAATTCGGACTGTTATCCTTATCTTCATTGCCATCGTCACAACGTTTCGGCCGTTATACGCTCCGGACTTCTTCAAGAGATTGAAATTTCGAACCGAACCCATTATTTCGTCTACCGGGGAAGATTGTTCTAGTTCCACGTCCCATGCCTCTTCCAAATGTCTCAGTTATTTCCCTTTAACTCAACTCTCCAGGGTTTTTAGCTCCCCACTGCTTACAGATGATGAAAAGACTTGAGGCAACAGAAATTTTGTTCTATAAAAGGATGCCGACAATATCACGGGCATAATAACAACATATAAGGAAAATAGAAACAAAAATTCCACTTATACTTCAAATCAGAATCTAGATCTAATAATGAAGAAAGAGGGTGTGAAGAATTTGACACTCACTAGGCATATTCCCCTTCTGATTCTTTGCTTCCCTGCCACCTACAATCTTCAAAGATTAAAGGCAACATCAATCGTCATCTTCTGTCTTCTAAAACCTGTTCCTTTATTGTCCAATTCTTCGCTTCTCCTCACTAAAGTCTTCTCATTCTCTTCCACTCTTCAACCCCATTGCGTCTTAGGGGCATTATCACCTTGCTTGTGGGGAAATGATTAAAGCAGAAAATAACAAATATTACTCAGTTTCTGAAAGACATGGTATAGAGATGATAACAGGGAATAACTGATGTCAGAATAGGAACTGGTCGGGATGATGAAAAGACGAACATTACTAAGATCTAGAAAAGATAGGAAGTTGTGGGGAGACATGATCACCCACGTCCTGAAGATGCGTGGTACATAAAGAAGTTACCCAGATAAATTTTAGTATCTGCTTATTTTTGAAGTAGAAAGTTTTCATACCGCTACAAGGAGCTTCTCTTCTTAGTGACTCGGCTGCATGAATTTAAGCGTGTTACTAGATTGGCGATTAGGTCTCACCGTTTTACTGTTGAACTATCTAGATATGACCGTCAGTTCTATTCTAATATTGCCTTTAATTTCACTCTTCGCTTGTGGAATCTCCTTCTGATTCTTTGCCTCACTGCCACTTACAATCTTCAAAGATTAAAGGCAACATCAATCGTCATCTTCTGTCTTCTAAAACCTGTTCCTTTATTGTCCAATTCTTCGCTTCTCCTCACTAAAGTCTTCTCATTCTCTTCCACTCTTTAACCCCCTTGCGTCTTAGGGGCATTATCATCTTGCTTGGGGTGGAATGATTAAAGCAGAAAATAACAAATATTACTCAGTTTCTGAAAGACATTCCTTTGTAGCTTCGAATTTCGGTGCCACCTTTTCCGACGTCTTTTACATCTCTGCTCGTTTCCTCTGGCACTTTTTTGAAAAACCCTAAACTTTCAGATGTCTCTTTCTGATTGCCATAGACAGTGTCCCTGTAGTTCCCATGCTTTAAAAAAATTCTTCATTCGTGACGTGATGTAAATCTCTATATATAAAACAGAGGATGTTTATGTGTCTGCCTATGTGCTTGTCTGTCTGTCTGTGTGATACCTTTTCACTCGAGATCCATTCAACCGATTTTGAATAAACTTGGCACATGCATTGTACATTGTAAGAGATAGGTTCTTAGCGCAAAAAAAATCGATAATTAAAAAAAAAAATACTAATCGAGCAAACCGATCAAAAATCGATAAATTCAACTTTTTTCCTCCGATTTCGTTCAAACTCGATATGTAGGTTACTTACATCATGGCGGGCTCGGCGATAGCTCATTTTTTTTTATTTCGACGCCATTGCGTTTAGCAAAAAAAAAAAGCGAAAAACGAAAAATCGATTTCAACACAAATCAATTTCAACACAAATTTTTAACTAAACCCCCTTAATTTTCACGCAATCTAATACAAACTTCACTCAATTGTAGCCAGCAATATTTTGATTGTCTAACAATCATTTAATTTGATAACTGAGTCCACCCATATAGTGGAAACCCGCATAAATAGCGAAAAATGGCGATTTTTACTGGTTTGTTTCTTATTTTTCGTTGATCTTTCAATCAATTTTCATCAAACTTAACAATTGCTTTATAAATGTATTCTATTTTACATCCCCGGTAGCACACTGACAAATTGAATTTCAAACGATCCAAAATAACTGTGGCCTGAAGTGGGTCTTCATCTTGCCTGTTTTACCACATCCTCGACTAACTTCGATTGAATAAATACAGACTACTTCAGTTATATCAGTAACTGTTTTAATTCAAAATGTTTTTTTTAATGAAAGTACTTTAAACTAATTACAGAAGATAAGACATTGTTACTTCTAAACATGATGCTGTTTTTGCTCCATTCTCATTGAACGCTTTTTCTGATCGACCATCTGGGTATGGCTGCTAGTAGTTAATGAAACATAACCATAAAGACAAGTTTGAATCAGTTTTCTAGAAATGATCTTCAAGAAAATCTATTATACATAAACCTGCGACCTGCTTTATCTATCCTCGTTCTTTTGTCCGCCTGTAGTAAACCACGGTTTTGGTCAATCCACATCGAGGCTGTCGGTGTCTTTTATAAGAAAAAGGTTTACGTACCGTTACACATTACTTCACTGATTATTCTGGATTTAAATGACGATTCACTGACGTTTATTTTAGCATTCCACTGTTCTATAATAAATGGTGACCGACTGTGTTTATGTTATGTCAAGCGTACAGAAAAAAAAATTGATTACCTTTCAGATAGATAGATAGATAGATAGATAGATAGAAACAGAATGAGATAGATGAGATGTGAAGATAGATAGATAGATAGATAGATAGATAGAAACAGAATGAGATGCATGAGATGTGAAGATAGATAGATAGATAGATAGATAGATAGATGATAGATAGATAGATAGAACAGAATGTGATGCATGAGATGTGAAGATAGATAGATAGATAGATAGATAGATAGATAGATAGATAGATAGAAACAAAATGAGATACATGAGATGTGAAGATAGATAGTGTTATACTAGAACGTACCTATTCTATTGTAATAGACTCTCCCACATATAATCTAGCAGTGAGCCAGGGCTCTGTGAGTTGGTGAGTCAGTTGATGTCGGACCTTAAAGTATCAACCACCACAACTAGAGCGCTGCGTCATTAACTATTATTTCAAGTTCCTAACGTTTTGTATGTCGAACCTTTTTTAGGACCGACTCAGTGAAATACAAGCCTCCACTGTGAAAACTACTCTACGACATAGATAGATAGATAGATAAATAGATAGATAGATAGATAGATAGATAGATGAGATAGATAGATAGATAGATAGATAGAAACAGATAATGAGATAGATGATAGATGATAGATGATGTGAACATAGATAGATAGATAGATAGATAGATAGATAGATAGATAGATAGATAGATAGATAGAAACAGAATTAGATAGATAGATAGATAGATAGATAGATAGATAGATAGATAGATAGATTTGTCTCTGATTATTATCTTCCTTTAGTTCTTATTCTTAAAGAAAGCCTTTCAATCGTCACATGATGTAGATATTAAATCAAACACAAATATCGAGTCAAGTTTCAATTATTTTCCTACAAAAGATTTTCAAGAAAATCTCATTCTTCTGTTCTTTCATTTGTATTTAAAAGTCGTCTGTTTCCAACAAAAGTTCCGACGCGCCAAATCACGTCCAGATTTCAGTTTCTGAATGAAAGAAAGATGATGGAACCACAGATCACTGAAGGCTTCATACCACCCACGAATTTAATAAACTCATTGAAATGAATTCTCTTCAAATTGTAGACACAAACAACCTTTTAGATTTGCAACGAGTCGAAAAAGTTTAAACGAAAGTTTATTTTTTCCCATGTCTTTCTTTCATTTATTTCTGTTACTTTATTTATGAAATTCGTATTCGTTGCTATAAATATCTCTTATTGGATGAAAAATTGTCAATTAATTTTATTGGATGAAAAATTTTCAATTAATATTTTTGCTAATTTTTTGCTAATTTTATTTCTGCTGCTTTTTTTTATACTGGATGTACGTGTAGTTCAATGGCTCGGGAGCAGAAATCAATGAACCAAGTTTGAATCCCGACAAAGTTCGTTGCGTTTACTTTCTCGTAAATACAGTACGATGCAGAAAAAGTAATTCAGAAATATTTTTTTCAATTATTATTTTATCACTTTAATTAAAAATGAAAAATGTTATTTATTTTTCCAATTAAAAATATACATATTACTAGTAAATTAAAAAATAATTTGTAATTATTGAAAAAAATACATAAAAAATGACCATTTTTGAGTATTTAACAAGTTTTCTAGTGTACAAAAAAGTAACACATTAAAAAAATGTGTCATTATTTTAAAATACCTTGTAATTTTATTTCCATAATTTATTCTTAAAAATTCTAGAAAATTCTACAATTATTTTAAAGTATATAAAAGAAACCCAAAATATAATTAATTGATGATTTGTTTTGAAAAGCTATAAACACGCCGCTCAGTCTGTAGCAATAGTCGCCCTGTTAAAAACTGGTAAATCGACTCGAGAAATTGCAAATAGTGTCAACACTTCTCAATCAACTGTCTCGAGGGTTTTTGAGAAGATTTAATTCTACTAAAACATTTGTCAAAGTAGAAAACAAGGTTAGAGAACACAAGGTCGATGAGAGAACCGGCCGTAAAATCATTAGAGAAATTAACAAAAACCGGCTAATTACCAGTAGAGAAATGGATGCTATCTTGAAAAATGATTTCGAAATGTCAACTCCTCTACTGTACGCAGATGTTTCTTGAAAGAAGGTTACAAATGTTTTTAAGCCACTGTTAAATAAAACACATAAGGCTAAACGTTTAACATAGGCAAACGCTTACATGTCCTTCACTGAGTCTGATTGGAAAAATGTTCTTTTCTCCGACGAGACAAAAATTGAAATGTTTTCAAAAGGCAAAAGAACGAAAATCAGATGGAGAAGCGAAGAAAACCCTTTGAAAATGACAGTTAATACTGTGAAGCATCCTGTCAATTTGATGGTTTGTGGTTGTTTCTCATTCAGTGGGACTGGATTTTTCAAACCAGTATACAAATCGCTGAACAGCACTCAATACTCAAAAATATCGGGAACCTTCTTGCTGCCATCTGCCAAAAAACTCGAAATTGATTAATCAAATCTCATTTTTATGCAAGACAATGCTCCCTGAGATAGATGAGATGTGAAGATAGATGAAAGTAGATGAAAAATTACTTTTCCTTAAAAAATGTCAATGTTATGGTATGACCACTGCAGTCTCCTGACCTAAACCCAATTGAGAATTTATGGAGCATCGAAGAAAATCATTCAAAACAAAGAAGCTTTGATTGAAAATTTTATTGTGGAGCGAAACAGTTTGCTAGATGACATCTGCAAAAGTCTCATTAAGTGTGCGCCGGACAGAGTCAACAAAGTTCTGAAAAACAAAGGTCGAAGCATAAATTACTAAAGAAATTTTTCTTTTGTGTTTTTATTTTACTAAATTTTATTTTTTAAGAAAATATTAGATTATCATTGTACAGAATTAATACGGTATAAAAAGTGAGTCAGTTTTTTTGCACATTAAATATTTACATTAAAAGCAAAAAGTAACATGCTTTAGGTTTGTTTCTTAAGAATTTTTTTTATAAAATTGCAAACAATGTATCATTTCCCTTACTTATACACATATTTTTAAAACTCTATTTTTTATTTAAAATATCGAGAAAAACAATTTTTTCCCCTAAAAGTCACTTTTTTTTTTTTTTTTTTTTTTTTTTTTTTGGCACAGCACTGTACTCTTGTGAAAGGTATTACTCCTCCTCTACACCCACCAGCTATGGATTAAATAGCAGAGTAGACTAGGAGACGGAAAACTCTGAATTTAGAACCTGCCAGAGGGATAGGCTCCATCAGGTTATCGTCACGATGCCCCCAAAATCCTAATGGTTTACGGGTCTCCTACGTTTATAACATTATTCGTTTCAAAATCATTTGATGTTTGGTCAGATTTAAGTTCGTTTAATAACCGCTCTCGAACAATTTTTCTAATGTTTTCTTTCAAAATCAGTTATGGATTTAGAAATCGAATATAGCAAGAAAATCCATTTCCCTTTTAGGTCATTTGCGTCCATGCTTCTCCACAACATCCTTTCACAATATCTATAATTTGTGATTGTTCTTGGGAAAGGTAGTTTCCATTGAATTCTCTACGGAGTTTTCTTTCTTCAAGATTTGTTATCCTAGCCAAGTTAGAGAGTCTAGTCTGCTTAACTATTTTACCCATTGCTGGGGAGTGGATGAGAAATGGATCTGTGCTTTTCCCCAAGGGTATCAGAGCGGAAGTAAACGGAACAGCTGGAATTTGAACTTGACCTAACGATTCCATTTTCCACACCGGTTGCCGTTACGCCAACAATACATTTTGATTTGGAGCGTTAAAAATAAACAGCCCAGCAGAGAAGACAATAGACTCTGTCTTTGGTTGGTCAGAATCGTAAGTCAGAAGACGGATAAGGATTATGAAGATTATTTTTGTCCGCTGCAATAATTCCAGTCATTTTTTCCTATCAAAATTGTTTCGCTGTCCTCACACAAATAGACCTTTTTTTTCTTTTTATTTTTTCTTTTAATTCCAATCTCATCTTCAAAACGATTTTTGTCAAAAGATTAGGGTTATGAAATAAAAAAGAAAAGGGATCCAAAATCGCCGATCCAAGAAAGCCGCTGTCAAGAAATGATAGCTCAGACAATCCGGTAATGATCGGCTGTTTAAAATAGATTTTGAACTGTTTCATTTAAGCCTCCGTTTGAAGCCATTATTAATGCGATAATCTTGACTGTATCTTCCAAATCAGTTAGATTAGTGAGTGACGCACAATTTGTCACCGGGGAGATGATATACCGCAAAAGATTTCAATTATAGTTGGTTCACTTGTTTGTTTGTTTTTTGTGGGGGGGTTAGTGGCATATCAACCTCAATGGGTTACTGTTATATAGGAATAAAGCCTAAGAAGGAGGTTATTTCATACAAAATACAATTTATGTTAAACCACCGATTCTTACTGTTATAGTGATTTTCTAAGCCCGGCTTAGATGTGGCACAAGGCCGAAAGTATGGGGCATCTAGTGAGGATCGAACACACTTTTCAGTTGTAACTGATCTTGCGAGACAAGCTTGCTAACCATTACACCACGCCGAGGTGCCCAATTCTTACTGTTATATAGGAAAAAAAGTGTCGATGCCGACACTTGAGTTTGAACATAGATCGCCAGTGAGCAAACACAGCCGATCCCATTATTGAATCAAGTAGACCACGTGACCATAGAGGAAAAGCCTCAGTAAGAGGTTATTTCATACAAAATATGATTTATGTTAAATCACCGATTCTTACTGTTATATAGGAATAAAGTGTCTCTGCCGACAGTTGAGTTTGAACATAGATCGCCAGTGAGCCAACACAGGCGATCCCATTATTGAATCAAGTAGACCACGTGACCATAGAGGAAAAGACTAAGTAGGAGGTTATTTAATATGATTTATGTTAAACCACTGATTCTTACTGTTATATAGGAATAAAGTGTCGCTGCCGACACTTGAGTTTGAACATAGATCTCCAGTAAGCAAACAGAGGCGATCCCATTATTGAATCAAGTAGACCACGTGACCATAAAGGAAACGCATAAGAAGGAAGCCGCGTGACGTCTAGATTGATCTACAATTCTAGTCTATCGCTTATTACTACTCGGATTACCATTTCTATTCTATCCTCTATTACTATACGGATCTGCAATTCTAGTCTATCCGCTATACTATACGGTTAGTTATCCTCTATACTATTTCTCTATTCGGATCACTATACGGATTACTGTTCGAGCGAGTATTATCGAGCAAGTACAATTAGTGCAAGTGTTATTTGAAAGCGACTGGCACCAGCATTGTTCAAGAGCGTACTATAGTTGTATCTACGATTACAAAGTCTCTACTACGATGAGCCTTACGAAAGGGACAACGAGTATTCGTTGACATTACTAAAGTAATTTAATGCCGAAATCTAAATATTTTGATTGGTTTGATTGGTTGATTTTGTTTGTGTAATCGTAGGCAAAGTTTGATGAATAAGATAAAAATATTTCTAAAATCCACCGAAAAATATCACCCACTTACCATCTCTTTCCTTGATAAGTTTTGGAACTCATCTACCACAGATATCTATGTGATGTGGACTAATATTATTATCAATTATATATGATGTCATCTAACCTTTTTTTGATTTACGTATAAATTACAAGTGATATGCGCTTAGCGTAGTTGCGAACGGCGTGATGACGAGGATTAAGGTTTCGAGTTCAAATTCCAGCTGAGGAGTTTTATTCACTTTCACACAGATACCTTTGGAAAGGTATGAAGCTTGTCTCTACTTCTTATAGAATTGGCTCTCTATCTTTGTTTGGCAACCAATCCAGAAGAAAGATAACTCTGAAATTAAAATTACATAGACGTGGATCTAGAAACTACAATCCGTAAAACCCTACTTACTACAGAAAGCACAGCAACCATACTTGCTCTGACGCTATACACTCCGGGGGAGTCAACAGTTCTTACATACTCGCAATGAATTAAACATAGACAAAACAGAATCGACTGATCCAAAAACGAAGTTAAAATATCAACTTTTAGTCGAGTGTATCATATCATATATGTTTTGATTGTTAAAGTGCAATGAGTTATTGATAGTGAATTTTTCTTGTGATTCTGTGTGCTTATTAGTGTGTATGCTAGTTAATATATGCGATGCATATACAGTATGCATACATAAATATGTCTATATATATGTCCATGTGTATTTAAGTATATATATATATATATATATATATATATATATATATATATATATATATATAATTCTGCAAAAAGCAAACATTACCTCAAGCTGTTTTTTTTACTGTAAAAAATATATATGCTCTGTAATAATAAATACATCGAGCTCTCTGTAAATCAGTTTTAATAATGAATATTACTAGGATCTACCCGGATTATATACCAACGGGTCGATTACATAGATAGATAGATAGATAGATAGATAGATAGATAGATAGATAGATAGATAGATAGATAGATAGATAGATAGATAGATAGATAGATAGATAGATAGATAGATAGATAGGAGGCACGGTGGAGTAATGGATAGCGGCTTGGATTGAGGAATCGCAGAGCCGAGTTCGAATTCCAGTCGAATCCATTACATTCGCTTACGTGCTAATACCCTTGGGAAAGGTATGAATCCTCTTCCTCTCCCTCCAGCTATGGGTAAAATAGCAGGACAGACTGGGTTCTATAGCCTTGGATGGCAACTGGTCTAGGAGAAGGACAACTCTGAATTCAAAACCTGCGGATGGTCGTGGCATTCGGTGCACCAGGTGTTTTTTTATTCGTCCCTTCAAAAAGTGTGGATGGTCCTGCACGAAACCTTCACCACTATAATCAAATCAAATCATGTGCCGGTGTCGGGCTGTCGGTTTCACGGAAACTGATCTGCTTGACCCTCATACGTCGAATCTCGACGGGAGAGTCGATTATATATACAGTAAAAAAAAAACATGTTGAAGTAATGTTTGTTTTGTTTTTTGTTGTATATATAATCGACTCTGAAAAAAAGAGACATATGCTTTGTTATAATAAATACTCTTTGTGAATCAGTTTTAATAATTAATATTGCTAAGATGCACCCGGATTATATACCAACGGATCGATTAAATGTACTATATATATATATATATATATATATATATATATATATATATATATATATAATTTTAACAAATTCTTAATTTCTTCCTCTGCCACTGCCACTATCCTTTCGTTCTTTTATTTTTCTCTTTATGGACGCCATGTTCTTTGGAAGCATGTGTAGACCAAGTTAATGATCTTATTAGGCTTCCTCCACGTGAATAGGAGTTCTTCTTTTGAATAATAAGAATAAAATATCACAGAGGGTGGCAGAAACTGTATTTTAGAGTTGCTTACATTGGGAATGGCCAAAAATAAGGGTTGGGAACAATTGTTTTAATCTGTTAATTTCAATAATGTATTTCTAATACCGAGCTGCTGAAAAATGAAACTATTAAAAGGTTTTTAAATTGATATCATTAGAAGATTTTTTAATATTACATCATTATCCGTGTGCGTGTGTATGCCTCAAATTATCAACCTATTACTTTCTTATCTCTTTTTGGCAACTCCAGGCTATAATCAACGCCGAATTGGTTAAGAATCTTATTTTCCACGGCCTATTTTTGAATAAATAATATGGCTTCCGTTTCACCACATCTACCGTTGATGTGTTAATGGCCCCACACTGAAATTGTCTATAAATCTTTAGAAAAGGACGGCGAAGATCGAGTCGTGCCTCTAGATATCTCAAAGGCGTTCGACTGGATTTGGCAAACTGGCTGTCTCCACAAACTCAAGGGCTACGGTGTCTGTACGAAACGAATATTTGGCTTAATCAAATCATTACTATCAAATGGCGTAATGACGGCCGTAATGAACAGAAATTTCACATTAATTCGAGGCTCCCACAGGGGTCTATCTATGTTGCTTCTAACGACCATCTGATTGGATTAGTACCCACCGCCGTATTTAAACTGTTGGTCTCAACGGCCCGTCAGATTTTGTTATATGACTATTCTATTTTTGTTATATGACCATACCACTTTTATTTCACTAAGTCACAACGGCCCGTCAGATTTTGTTATATGACTATTCCATTTTTGTTATATGACTATTCCATTTTTTATTTTATTTGATCTCAACGGCCCTTCAGTTTTTGTTATATAACCATAACATTTTTATTTCATTTGGTCTCAACGGCCCGTGAAGTTTTGTTATATGACTATTCCATTTTTATTTCATTTGATCTCAACGGCCTTTCAGTTTTTGTTATATGACCCTAACATTTTTATTTCATTTGGTCACAACGGCCCGAAAGATTTTGTTATATGACTATTCAATTTTTATTTTATTTGATCTCACCGGCACTTCAGTTTTTGTTATATGACCCTACCATTTTCATTTCATCTGGTCTCAACGGCCCGTAAGATTTTGTTATATGACTATTCCATTTTTGTTATATGACCATACCATTTTTATTACACTAAGTCACAACGGCCCGTCAGATTTTGTTATATGACTATTCCATTTTTATTTTATTTGGTCTCAACGGCCCTTTAGTTTTTGTTATATGACCCTACCATTTTTATTTCATTTGGTCTCAACAGCCTGTCAGATTTTGTTATATGACTATTCTGTTTTTATTATATGACCATACCACTTTTATTTCACTAAGTCACAACGGTCCGTAAGAATTTGTGATATGACTATTCCATTTTTATTTTATTTGATCTCGACGGCCCTTCAGTTTTTGTTATATGACCCTACCAATTTTATTTCATCTGGTCTCAACGGCCCGTAAGATTTTGTTATATGACTTTTTTATCTTCTTCGGTCTTGGGAGTCTGTCAGATTTTGTCATATAACCATGACATCACATTTTTTCTAAGATCAGTATAAGATCTTCATAACGACAACCATGCTCTCTAAATCTTTTCCTGGTTCTGTTTCATTTGCATTTATTATTTAGTCCTTGAAAGAGTTTCTACCATGTCATAAGCCTGTCATGTCCACTGCTTGGATCATTTTCTCAACCTCTGTTGTGTCCGTCTAAGGTATTTTGCCCATGCAAGAAAATAGATAGAATCGGTGCGTGCTAGAGGTTCACCTTCTTTTTTAGATCAATTTTCATGTCTTGGGCTTTCGTCTTGTCAATGTTGCTGTCTTACGAGACAAGGCTTATTCTCAATCTTTATAAAAGAATGGAAGTGAAGGGAAAATTTTCTCAGAAGTCAAAACAATGACATTTTTCCTGCTTTCTTGAGCTTATTTCCAAGCAAACTGAAAAATACCTGTCAATTATTCTTTATGGAGAATAAAGCAGATTTTATTTTTATGGCTGTTACTGTTTATTTTATCACTGAAACATCCAAATAAGGTCATCTGAATATGAGGCTCGTTAAAGAAAGATAAATAAATTCAGGGAGGTAATCAGGCCGTTTGAATCTAGAAACTGTTTAAGTCTTTGAAATCAAAAGTACACAAAAAAACTTTTTTTTTGTTTATCCCTCATGAGATTATAACTAAGAAAAATAATAATGATAGAGAAATTGTAGTCTTACAGTGAACGGTTGCAAATGATAATTGTTATGATGAAAGTCTACATAACAGAAAAGTAGACATGCTTTTCTCTATGATGAATATTTTTTACATCCAAAACTTCCCTGTAGCTAAATACCAATCTTAAAGATTATACACGAAATAGTTTTGGCCATCTATAGCGAACAAAGTGAATCTTCTTCCGCATATATATATATATATATATATATATATATATATATATATATATATATATATATATTGATGCATGTTTCATTAAATAATATAGACAAGTGCTGTCTATCTATTTTATGTAAATTCTTTTCATAACGTCTGATAAGCTTAATAACATTATCATTAAACAAAGAAAGAAAATCACAATATTGATGTATATTTTTTAATCCATTCTCAGCTTTCGGCTTACATAAGCCATTATCAAAGATGACAATTACTGTATAATATATTAAGCAATACACGGACAACAATGTGATGATAGTCTGTTTCTGTTTACATGGATGATTTCCAAGCAACGACAAACTCGTGCATATAAGACGCTGGAAGCGAAAATCGCACCGCATCTCATGGCGTCACACATGACCACGCGAGAGTGAATATTATTTAATGAAACATGTATGAATGAAAAAATGCTGCCTAAATACACACAATATATGTGTGTGTGTGTGTGTGTGTGTGTGTGTGTGTTTGTGTGTGTGTGTGTGTAAAATTTAAGATAGAGTATATCTGTAAAAGGACAATATGAATAACGACAAAAGAAAAACTTAGCTAGCCGACACGTCTTGTTCTCTAAGAGACTTTGACATTTGCCTTAATGAAGTCCCTATATATAAAGGGCGTGTCAAAAATACTTTTACAGACTTTGGAGCGGGTTCCTCACATCAAAACAAGGACAAAAAGCCACATAAACATAGCGTGAACTATTTGCAAGTCAACCACAAATACTTACTTTGACAATCCAAAATTAAAGGTGCAACCTCTCTACTAGGGAGATCTATCCGCGAGTACACACACACACACACACACATATATATATATATATATATATAGTCATCCACAGACAGACTGTTTCATAGCTCATCAGTGTGGCTAGACATCCGATTGCCTCAAGCCGGGATCGAAACCCGACTGGTTTGATATCAGTTGGAGATTACACCGCTAAGCTATTGAAGCTGAATTTAGACGTATTTATTTTTAGATAAATACGCCAGTGCTTGGAGAACTCGATTCGTCTTAACGAAGAATCTTGTATCAGCAGCAGTAATAGTCACTGTTTACAAATTCACTTTTCTCCCCGAGAGCTCAACCGAAATTATCTTTTTCAGGAGCATATATATATTGTCATCCACAGACAGACTGTTCCGCTGCATAACAGCCCATCAGTGTGGCTAGACATCCAATTGCCTCAAACCGGAATCGAAAACCGACTATATATATTTTTAAACAAATCCTCAGTGAACAGTGAACAGTGAACATTTACCAACCACAGCTAAATATTTTATGCGTTTTCCTGCAATCATCAGGTAGTCAGCAAATGTATATTTTTTTGTGAAAGATGGGCATTTTATACCCTCCTTGGCATGTTCAAGATGTTACAACGAGAGTAGCTGATGGCTACATAATATTCACACGCCTTCTAAATTATGAATATATATGCAGATTTGATGAACTGGTTAATAAAAATCGAGTAGTAAAAATGGCAATAAAACGATATCAGTATGGACAATAAGATTGATGATATTTATTATATATTAACCCTTGACTAGGGCACGAAGAGAAAGATTTTAAAGTCGGAATTTTCGGACACGCCTGTGTTCTTTTTCAGCGATACGAAGAATAAACAAAGAAGTGGGACTCTTGAGGAATGTTGCTGGTTAGAGGGCTCCCTAATATATATATATATATACAAGCCTGTTTCGCTGTACCACAGCTCACAGTGATGATAGTCAACCGATTGCTTCAAGCCGAGATCGAAACTCGACCGATTTGGCGTCAATCAGAGACTCTACTCCTAAGCTATCGGCGCACGGTAGAGAAAGGAGATATTTTAACGTATTATATACGTGATGTATATAAACACCAAATCGGCTGCCAAAGCAGACAATTCATAACTGAAGAGCGATGTGCTATATGCAGCAGGAGCTACTTTTTCAAAAATTCCTATTCCCCATAGTGTTCAATCGGCGAATGATATATATATATATATATATATATATATATATATATATATAGAGAGAGAGAGAGAGAGAGAGAGATAGATAGATAGATAGATAGATAGATAGATAGATAGATAGATAGAAGAAATATAGTTTTAAGGTATGCTGTATATATGGGATAAAGTGCTTAATATCAGAGATAGCGCGTATGTAAATATAAATATAAAAGTGAACACTGAAGTCAACATTCAGAGCCTGACGACTGCGTCCAGCATGAAACAGCTTGTCACCTCTGAGTGTTGACTTCAATGTTCACTTTTATATATATATATATATATATATATATATATATATATATATATATATATATATATATATATATATAATTTTAAGATATGCTATATTTATGGGTAAAATGGTCGATATGAGAGAAAGAGCGTATGTACATATAAAAGTAGAAATTGAAATCAACACCCAGAGACGACGATTACGTTTAGAATGAAACAGACTGTCGCCTTTGGATTTTGACTTCAATGTCCTATATGAGTCCTTTAGCCTTGGTTGTTGAGAAGGAGAGAGAATGTCCTGGATGTGTTCTAATGAGGTTCTTCTTGCATAAATCCTTTTCTTTTTTTAAGGAATTTCTTTAACAACTAATTGCGATATGTGCAAATTTCTACGTCAAGCCTGAACAGTAAAAAGATAGGTGACCGCTTGGGAATACCAGGTGCTGTAAGTTTTGATTTGCGTGTGGTATAAACGGCTTACGACCATATCACGTTGAAACACTAATTCCCGTGGGATCATCGACGTTAAGCAACGTCGAGCCGAGTCAATACCGAGATGGGTGGCCGCTTGTGTATATCAGGTACTGTAAGATTTGTTGTACGGTTGGTATAAAGGACTTACGAACATATCACATTGAAACACCGATTCCTGTAGGATCACCGAAGTTAAGCAACGTCGAGACTAGTCAGTACCTAGATGGGTGACCGCTTAGGAATACCAGGTGCTGTAAGTTTTGAAGTGCGGGTGATATAAAGGGCTTACGACCAAATCACGTTGAAGCACCGATTCCCGTACGATCGCCGAAGTTAAGCAACGTCGAGACTAGGTGACGGCTAGATGGGTGACCGCTTGGTAATACACCTATACTTCCTTAACTATGAGTTAATTAGTAAAACTTGTGTCACTAAACCATTATCCTCCCCACCAAAATAAAATTTCTTTAAAATATTTTCAGGATTTAAATAACTTTCAAAGTGTTGATAAGCCATAGAAAACAGTTCAATCAATCAATAAAATACTGCTACACAGGCATGACTTTTAGATATATTTACATTCTCTGGAATATAAATGTATAGAAGCAATCATGGTCGCAAAATGAGGGATTTATATATTCATTGCAATATATACTTAATCCCACTTTATATCCACATTGAAATGTCTTGTTTATGAAATTCTGATTATGTATGAATCCAGTCCTTCTCCCTCCAGGTATGGGTTAATTAGTTAGATTTTTATCACACAAATATTTTTATCTTAAAAAAATGTTTACAATCTAAAATTCTTTTCTGGCTTTAAATAACCTGCAAAGGGATGATAAGCAGTTGAAAACGAATCAATGAAATCACTTCTCAGATTAAATTTTGTTTTTTACAATATAGCTGAAATAAATTATGTTGCTACACAGACGCTTGTTGTTTTGCAAATCAAAACGAGGGCTTACAATATTAGACTAGATTAGTGTTGAGTTTAGCATTTCATTTCATTTTTTCCTTCCATCCAAACGTTCCTCTTAAATTTTCTTCTCTAGATTAATTTTCTTAGCCCTTGGGAAGCAATTCAGTGTTTGCTCTACAGAAATCGTTTGTCGAGGTAATATAAAAAATAGTGTGAAGCGCCAAATTCAAAACCATTCAATCTCACTTATCCTCTAGGAATTTAGAATAATTCATGAGAAAATAAATCTATGCATGCACATAATCAAGCAAGGATGCTGAATGGCTAAAGATAGAGCCAATCTCTAGCCTCGTAAGGTTCACGCGACCCTGTCTATATAAGCGTCAAATTCAAAGACACATCCTCTTTTTTCCACCACGTTAATCAAACGACACAAAACAAAGTAGCTCCTTCACCACAAGCCCGGTCAGTGGTATCAAGTTACGAAGAAATGGGACCAGTAATATCAAGAGAAATTACTACTAGCCGTCGACTGAAAGGACCTTCTCCTTCAACAAGGGCGCCTTTCACCTAAGCTAAGTCCGCAGACGCACATTGTCAGCAATCACTTCATTTTTTCCTTATTTCTGTTTTTTTTCTATTTGGATTAAATATATTTAAATAGTATATACGGAAGAATAACCTAATGGATAAACGAAATGGCTTGTGAATTTGGTGATATAATAATTCCGAATCCAATCTCTGGGCTGGGCAGTGTGTATTTCGACTTAATGGAAACAGGGCGAGCAATAACTGAGCTGAACTATACGAGTTATTCCTAGACATAGGATATCGCATAGGATATATTGCAGTGGAACAAGAACAGTCCACCCCTGTAGATTAAATAGAGGATTCAGTTCGGAATTCCCAGTAGATTACCAGGATCAACATACACCAGATGAAGGCCGGAGAGCAGAACGACCGAAACCTTATCATATCAACAACAAAGATGAGGATAATAGTATGCATGTTGTTACGAACCTCCACCTAAATCTTACTTATTATAAAACGCAAATTGTGTATGTGTGTGTGTCTGTACGTTTATATATTGGATCGGATTTCCTACATTTTTCAACCGATTTCAACAAAACTTCACAGGACTACGTAAAATTACCTTGCGGTGGTTCTGACAGCGCCAAAAATTGGAAAAAACACAATTGTTTTTGCACGAAATCAATTTGAAAACACGATTAAAAGGCATTAATGAAAGGGGGACAACTCATATCGAGTTATACTTATTAATATCGAGTTATCGAGTTATACTTATTATAAAACCCAGGTTGGTCGTTTTTGTGTGTGTGTGTGTGTGTGTGTGTGTGTGTGTGTGTTCGTTTATATATGGGATCGGATTTCCTACATTTTTCAACCGATTTCAACAAAACTTCACTTTTTTGTGGCAGGTAGTGTTTCTTATTGTCTTGTACACTTTTTTCTTTATTTTTACATTCAGAATGCTTTAAAAATTTCATTTACAAGACAATTGTTTATAATAAAATTCTATTCAATCGGTAGACTCATAACGATTGAAAACAATGTTTTCGTTTGAGTTTGGATTTGACCAATTCGTAAAAAAACAAAAAAAAACTAATTAAGACATGCGTGTCCGTCAACCTTAAACAATAATCTTTGTTAATTTTATTCTTCAGTCTTTATGATGGTCGATACTTGATCTATCTCTTACTGTTACATCCCCGGGCAACGCCGGGCTCTACTGCTAGTTTATTATAAAACTATACCATTGCTTATATTTTAGAAGCATTCTAAAATAAAGAGCCCAGTACTTGCAGAACATGTAAAAAATAGGAAACCCAAAGAGATAAGGTAGAATTAGTGGCGCCAAAGATTAACCAGAATGTACACTTTCTTTCTCTTTCGATAATGTGTTGACAGCATGATTTAGCCGGATGGATTCCAGATGGAAGATTGAAACACATTAAAGTAAATTCTCTCTGACCCAGCAGATGAGAAAAAGGGTCAACGAACTCATTTCGCTCACAATGGGAAAAGTTCGCATTTGCAAATAAGGACCACGTGACGAGAGAAAAAAAAAGGAACGAATAGCGAAACGAAAAAGTCAGTCTTGTCCATGCCTCGGCTTGGACGGAAATGGCTGCGATAAAAGCGAAAGTCTTGTCCAAGCCTCAGGGCTCGACCGACGAAGTCTGCTGTAAATGCGAAAGACCCTATCCAAGGGCGAGTCAGCGAAAGATTTGGTTGGGTACGCGAAAAGAGAATCCATCTTCGAATGGAATGGATGGACGCATTTGCTATAAACGCGAAAGTTTTGGTTGGTTATGCGAAAAAGAAAAAGTCCCTCTTCGAACCGAACGGACGACCGACCGCAAATGAGAAGAAGATGAAAAGAAAGAAAGAACCTCAAAAGAGAATGCTGCTACATGGAGACGAATGAGAGAGAGAGAAAGCGGTTTCAACTTAATCGTCACCCAAGCCCCTAGACGGGACGAAAAGAAAAGAAAGAAAGTAAGAAAAGACCTCAAAAGGAGACGCTGACGCTAATAAAAAGAAATAGAAAAGGAAAAAGAAAAAGAAAGAGATAAAAAAGAAGTAGATATAAGAGACATTAGTGGAAAAGACCTTTTATTACAAGTTCGTTGTTTTTCTTGTTTCATTTTTTTTAAATGTACTTCTTTTTCATATTTGTACTTTCATGAAAGTCTGGTATGAGATGCTTTTTATTATATGTTTCTTTCTACTTGTCTTAAAATGTTGATGTTTTGTAAATTCGTGCAAGTATGGCATATGTTCTGTAAATTTGTGCAAGTGTGGCACAAGGCCATGCGTTGATTTGTGATTTGCCTTTCTAAGAGGATGTTCCCCTTCTACTATTTTTGAGACTTTTTTTTTTGCCCGTTTTTTTTTTCATTTTTTCCCATGTTTTACGTTTGTTAATAAATTTATATTCCTTGTCGCCATTGTTGTTTGTCGCCTATCGTGTTTGTTCCTTAATCGATTCCGCTCGGCCGTGTCTGATCAATCGGAAAGACACCCTTTGGAAAGAAATATATTTTACGAAAATTGAATAAATGTTAAAATAATAAGTCAGGTTGCGATTCTCCTCTATTTCCGCTATTGATCCGGTTCGGAGACGGGGCGGGGTCGTAACAATGTAAATAGTGTAAATAATTAAATAGTACAGGTTGTTGTATAGCGGACCGTGGGTTTACGAGTTGTTAAATTAGGAACACGTGCATTTATTCCTGCTAGAAGGTTCAGTACAAGAACATGGTGCACTCAGAGATTGAATCCACCATAAAGAAGTCTAAAGAAAACCAATATATATATATATATATATATATATATGAAGAAAAATATACGGAAAAAACAAACAAAAATCCTTATACACAATTATGCTGTTTTAATGTTAATATGTCAACGTCGGACGTTTCGGTCTAATAAACCATCTTCAGGACATATTCATAAAATATAATTAACATTATCAATTCAACATGACAAAGACGATGTACATAAGAACAAGACTTATCCAAACAGATAACTGAAAGTTTTTTATATATATATATATATATATATATATATATATATATATATATATATATATATATCAACAAATATATGTATTAAACAACAAAATTTACAATAGACATAGACATTAAAATTTGCGTTTGTGTGTGAACGTAAAGAGTTTGTATTTTGGTGAATGTTCGTACGTACGCGCGTGCGTGTGTGTGCGTGTGTGTGTGTGTGTTTCATGAAGTTTTCCCACAAGTGGGAAAAAACGCCGATCTCTGCGGGAGATCACATTTTGTAAATGTGTCCGCTGAAATGCAAAGTAAAAAGAGCATTTACCTCACCTTCACGCAAGATAGGATGCGGCACAAGGCCTGAAGAAAAGAGAACGAAGCAAGAAGTCGCCCAGTATTTATAGTGTAGGGACAGCGTGCCCTTGTGAGCAATTAGGAAATTAAAGAGGAGTTAACTCCGACAGTTGTGTTTCTTTCTGATCAAAAGCTGTCGCGCAGTTCATTTGAGCACACGGGGACCTTACACTTACCCTCCATAAACTTGGGATTGTGTCCTGTCGTAATCTTGATATAATTACCACAATCGCATAACCTGACATGACTGGGGGGTGCTATGCTGCTGAATGCCAACCAATTAGATCTATTTCTGGCGGTCGTGGGTTAGAGCCTGATTCCCGATGTGGAGAGTGATCACGAAGTAAGCAAGCTCTTCTAGTAATGAATGTCATTGTTCGCGTTATTTCTGACATATCCAAACGAGGGCTCAGAATATGAAGCAAATTCAAGAAATATGAAGGAATATTTAAGCAGTGTAATACAGGATTTTTTTTCTGAAATTGTTTAGAACCTTAAAAAAATCAAAATTTACCCGGAAGTTATTCTTTAAAATTACACCGATATTAGTTTTTGCTTATACAGTAGTGAACTCTCTTGTCGATTTCGAGGATCGAAGCATTTCAGTTAAAAAAGCTGTTCAGTTAAAAAATCACAAGATAATCCATACAGATGACTTGATTATAATGATTTGTAACATTGTTGAATTGTGTTGAGGTTGTTGTTGTAAGTTACCCTGGAGGGAATGGGGCGTGATATGAAAAAGGCACGAGCGTCTCGTGTCGGTATGAGGTCACAAGAAGTCCGCTGAATTAAAGGCGTGAAACAAAATGGACAGCAGAACGAGAATATGTATGACTGATGCGAGGTTTATTTACAAAGCAGAGGCTCTGGGTTAGGTGGCCTGAAAAGTGGTCGGGACTGGTCGTGCCGACGACAGGATGTCGAAGTGAATTTGTTCCGGTCGTGTTGTCAATTGGCAAGTTGGGGGTGTCGACGCTTGGAACGATGCGGTGCAGTCGTTCCTGTTTTGTCGACGGCTGGAACGTTGAGGTGCGGTCGTTCCTGTCTTGTCGAGGGTTGGAACGTTGCGGTGCAGTCGTTCCTGTCTTGTCGACGGTTGGAACGATGTGTGCAGTCGTTCCTGTTTTGTCGACGGCTGGAACGTTGAGGTGCGGTCGTTCCTGTCTTGTCGAGGGTTGGAACGTTGCGGTGCAGTCGTTCCTGTCTTGTCGACGGTTGGAACGATGTGGTGCAGTCGTTCCTGTTTTGTCGACGGTTGGAACGTTGAGGTGCGGTCGTTCCTGTCTTGTCGACGGTTGGAACGTTGAGGTGTAGGCGTTCGAGTCTTGTCGACGGTTGGAACGATGTGGTGCAGTCGTTCCTGTTTTGTCGACGGCTTGAACGTTGAGGTGCGGTCGTTCCTGTCTTGTCGACGGTTGGAACGTTGAGGTGCAGTCGTTCCTGTCTTGTCGACGGTTGGAACGATGTGGTGCAGTCGTTCCTGTTTTGTCGACGGTTGGAACGTTGAGGTGCGGTCGTTCCTGTCTTGTCGACGGTTGGAACGTTGAGGTGTAGGCGTTCGAGTCTTGTCGACGGTTGGAACGATGTGGTGCAGTCGTTCCTGTCTTGTCGAGGGTTGGAACGTTGAGGTGCGGCCGTTCCGGTCTTGTCGACGGTTGGAACGTTGCGGTGCAGGCGTTCGAGTCTTGTCGACGTTTGGAACGTTGAGGTGTAGGCGTTCGAGTCTTGTCGCCGGTTGGAAAGATGCGGTGCAGTCGTCCCGGTCTTGTCGACGGTTGGAACGTTGAGGTGAAGTCGTTCCGGTCTTGTCGACTGTTGGAACGTTGAGGTGCAGTCGTTCCGGTCTTGTCGAGGGTTGGAACGATGTGGTGCAGTCGTTCCTGTTTTTTCGACGGTTGGAACGTTGAGGTGCAGTCGTTCCGGTCTTGTCGACTGTTGGAACGTTGAGGTGCAGTCGTTCCGGTCTTGTCGACGGTTGGAACGTTGAGGTGTAGGCGTTCGAGTCTTGTCGCCGGTTGGAACAATGTGGTGCAGTCGTTCCTGTCTTGTCGACGGTTGGAACGATGTGGTGCAGTCGTTCCGGTCTTGTCGACTGTTGGAACGTTAAGGTGCAGTCGTTCCGGTCTTGTCGACGGTTGGAACGTTGAGGTGTAGGCGTTCGAGTCTTGTCGCCGGTTGGAACGATGCGGTGCAGTCGTTCCTGTCTTGTCGACGGTTGGAACGATGTGGTGCAGTCGTTCCGGTCTTGTCGACTGTTGGAACGTTGAGGTGCAGTCGTTCCGGTCTTGTCGACGGTTGGAACGATGTGGTGCAGTCGTTCCGGTCTTGTCGACTGTTGGAACGTTGAGGTGCAGTCGTTCCGGTCTTGTCGACGGTTGGAACGTTGCGGTGCAGTCGTTCCGGTCTTGTCGACGGTTGGAACGTTGAGGTGTAGGCGTTCGAGTCTTGTCGACGGTTGGAACGATGCGGTGTAGTCGTTCCTGTTTTGTCGCCGGTTGGAACGTTGAGGTGCGGTCGTTACGGTCTTGCCCACGGTTGGAACGTTGCGGTGCAGTCGTTCCTGTCTTGTCGACGGTTGGAACGATGTGGTGCAGTCGTTCCTGTTTTGTCGACGGCTGGAACGTTGAGGTGCGGTCGTTCCGGTCTTGTCGACGGTTGGAACGTTGCGGCGCAGTCGTTCCTGTCTTGTCGACGGTTGGAACGTTGAGGTGTAGGCGTTCGAGTCTTGTCGCCGGTTGGAACGATGCGGTGCAGTCGTTCCTGTTTTGTCGACGGTTGGAACGTTGCGGTGCAGTCGTTCCGGTCTTGTCGACGGTTGGAACGTTGCGGTGCAGTCGTTCCGGTCTTGTCGACGGTTGGAACGTTGAGGTGTAGGCGTTCGAGTCTTGTCGACGGTTGGAACGATGCGGTGTAGTCGTTCCTGTCTTGTCGACGGTTGGAACGTTGAGGTGCAGTCGTTCCGGTCTTGTCGACGGTTGATACGTGCTGGTCAAGGCCGGTGTCGAAACCTCTCGTAGTTATTATAACCGATAGTATACAGGAAAGGTTTAAGTCGGAATTCGGGTCTAAAAATGCTTAAGAGGTGTGTTTTGACTAGGTTCGTAACACAAAAGGAACTAAAAAGTAATTAGCTCAATTCTAAAACGAAATGTGACTAAATTACACAGCGTGTAGAGAACACGATCAAAAAGGTCAAAGTCGAAGTGTCCTATTCGTTCCCGTTTATGGAGCGGCCAAATGCAACCGCGACAACTTATTGTTATATGTATTTGTAGAAGTTAATAGAGAGTACCTTTTCTCTTATTTTTTATTGAAACTGAAATAAATAAAACTTACAGCAATAACATAAACAATAAAACTTTGAGACACGTGTTGAAATTAATGATAAGAATGTGTATTTATTTTTTCGTGGTGTCAGTTTCAATATTGGTATTGTGTGAATTAAAAATATTCTCCGTGTTACTGTCTCTTTTGTTTCTTTAAAAGCTTGTGCTTATTTGTTTTTACTTGTTCCGGGTATTTAGTTGTTAATGGAAGCATCTGAAACCGTTAACTGTGGATTTTTACGGAGCGATGGTGACACGTCTTGTTTCTTTTTAATACTGCTACTCTAACCCAATGGCCTCGCTTGTAGTGCAAGGGTCCGTTTTATAATGATGAAGTTTCATATTTTAGAATGATGAAATATCATCATCGTATATCATCACTGGTGTCAAGGTTGTTTTAAATGATGAAATTTTTATCTTTATTTCCAGGGTGATGAAATATCATTATCTTCAATCATCACTGGTGGGAAAGTTCATTATTTACATTATTCGGACTATTGTCCTCATCTTTGTCGCCATATTTATCACAAAGTTTCGGCCGTTGTACGCTCCGGACTTCTTCAGATGGTTGGAATGTCGAACTGAACCCTTTATTTCGCTTACTGGGGTAGACTGTTCTAGTTCCACGTGTCAGTTATCAGTTATCTCCTGTTAATTTCCCTCTGAAAGTTCTCCACTGCCTTAACCGGGTATTGAACTCACACTTGAGGACATCTGGGTATGAATTTCTGGGTATTATAAACCTAATGTCTTCAGCAACATTTTTTACCAGTGCTCATATTGCAATTTACCTGTTATCAAATCATGTTTTTACCAGAGCTCATATTGCAACCTTGTTGTTATCATTGCTTTTCTCTGGCATTCCTTATTACTGGTTCCCATATCGTATTTATTTCTATGCTTGGTCGACTCAGGAGATTTTTTTATGTCCTGGCACATGGACAAAGGCGTTGATGGCACATGGATAAAGAGTTCAATACCCGGTTTGATTAGATAACAGGAGATAACTGACAGGACCCATCAAACATGGCACGTGAATGTGAGTTCAATAACCACCTGAAGAAGACCGGGTACAACGGCCGAAACGTTGCGACAAAGTGGAGTAAATAAATCTTTCAGATACTGAAAGGGAAATTAACAGGAGATAACAATAGTCCGAATAATGTAAATAGTGTACGACATCCATCAAACATGGAAACGTTGTAATAAAATGGCGACAAACAGAGGACAATAGTCCGAATAATGTAAAAATAAACCATCTCAGAAATATAGAAGACTGAAAGGCAAACAACGGCAAATAATGTAAATAATGTACATAAACTCATTCAGAAATAAGAAATATGAAGGGCGAAACAAAGATGAGGACAATAGTCCGAATAATGTAAATAATGTACATAATACCTCATCTCAGAAATATAGACAGATACAGAAAGGCCGAAACGTTGTAATAAAAGGACAAAGAAACAATAGTCCAAATAATGTTGTACATAATACCTCATCTCAGAAATATGGCGAAACGTTGTAATAAATATGGCGACAAAGATGAGGACAATAGTCCAAATAATGTAAATAGTGTACATAATACCTCATCTCAGAAATATAGACAGATACAGAAAGGCCGAAACGTTGTAATAAATATGGCGACAAAATGAGGACAATATGGCGAAAAAGATGAAATAGGACAGATACTGAAAGGCCGAAACGTTGTAATAAATAATGAGGACAATAAATAATGTAAATAGTGTACATAATACCTCATCTCAGAAAATATAGACTGAAAGGCCGAAACGTTGATAAATATGGCGACAAAAGATGAGGACAAACGAATAATGTGTACATAATACCTCATCTGAAATAAGAAGATACTGAAAGGCCGAAAGTAATAAATATGGCGACAAAGATGAGGACAATAGTCCGAATAATGTAAATAATGTACATAATACCTCATCTCAATAGTCTGAATAATGGCAAAAGTAAGAAAAATGAGGACCATGTAAATAATACCTCATACCTCATCTCAGAAATATAGACAGATACAGAAAGGCCGAAACGTTGTAATAAATATGGCGACAAAGATGAGGACAATAGTCTGAATAATGTAAATAGTGTACATAATACCTCATCTCAGAAATATAGACAGATACTGAAAAGAAACGTTGTAATAAATATGGCGACAAAGATGAGGACAATAGTCCGAATAATGTAAATAGTGTACATAATACCTCATCAGAAATATAGACAGATACTGAAAGGCCGAAACGTTGTAATAAATATGGCGACAAAATGAGGACAATGGTCGAATAATGTAAATAGTGTACATAATACCTCATCTCAGAAATATAGACAGATACTGAAAGGCCGAAATGTTGTAATAAATATGGCGACAAAGAAACAATAGTCCGAATAATGTAAATGGCGTACAAAGATCATCTCAGAAATATAGATCTGAAGGGCGAAACGTTGTAATAAAATGGCGACAAAGATGAGGACAATACGAATAATGTAAAATAATAATACCTCATCAAATGAGAAATATAGAAACGTTGTAATAAAGATGGCGACAAAGATGAGGACAATAGTCCGAATAATGTAAATAATGTACATAATACCTCATCTCAGAAATATAGACAGATACTGAAAGGCCGAAACGTTGTAATAAATATGGCGACAAAGATGAGGACAATAGTCCGAATAATGTAAATAATGTACATAATACCTCATCTCAGAAATATAGACAGATACTGAAAGGCCGAAACGTTGTAATAAATATGGCGACAAAGATGAGGACAATAGTCCGAATAATGTAAATAATGTACATAATACCTCATCTCAGAAATATAGACAGATACTGAAAGGCCGAAACGTTGTAATAAATATGGCGACAAAGATGAGGACAATAGTCCGAATAATGTAAATAATGTACATAATACCTCATCTGAGAAATATAGACAGATACTGAAAGGCCGAAACGTTGTAATAAATATGGCGACAAAGATGAGGACAATAGTCCGAATAATGTAAATAGTGTACATAATACCTCATCTGAGAAATATAGACAGATACAAAGATGAGGAAAGGCCGAAACGTAAATTGTACATAAAATATGAAATATAGACAGACTGAAGGCCGAAACGTTGTAATAAATATGGCGACAAAGATGAGGACAATAGTCCGAATAATGTAAATAGTGTACATAATACCTCATCTGAGAAATATAGACAGATACTGAAAGGCCGAAACGTTGTAATAAATATGGCGACAAAGATGAGGACAATAGTCCGAATAATGTAAATAATGTACATAATACCTCATCGAATAATGTAAATAAATATGGCGACAATGATGAGGACAATAGTCCGAATAATGTAAATAGTGTACATAATACCTCATCTGAGAAATATAGACAGATACTGAAAGGCCGAAACGTTGTAAATATGGCGACAAAATGAGGACAATAGTCCGAATAATGTAAAAATCATGCCGAAACGTTGTAATAAATATGGCGACAAAGATGAGGACAATAGTCCGAATAATGTAAATAATGTACATAATACCTCATCTGAGAAATATAGACAGACACAGTGGGAAGTTGTGTTTAGAATGATGAAATGTCGTCATTATTCTAGACAGATTAAGACTTAAACAGAAGCAGAGACACTTTTCGAAACAACTGATAACAAACGAATGGTGCACAGGGTGTTGAAAATTTTGAAACCTCCCTCCTCAGGTTTGAATTCAGAGTTTTCCTTCTCTTAGATTAGTTGTCACCCAACGTAAGAGAACTCAATCTGCGTTGTTGTTTAACCCATCACTTGAGGTAGATAGATTCGTGCTTTTTCCAGGAGATTGAGCGCGAAGTGAAGAAAGCGAAATAGACCAGAATTTGAACCCTGTTCGAATATTTCATTTTCTGGGTCGATAACCGTTGCACTATCCTTAAATACAGGATTCCCTCGATTAGTGCCACTAATGTGTACATCGGTAACTATTAAAAAATAATAATTTTTCAATTACTGTGGTTTAACTGGAGAACGTTTTACCGTACTAATCAAGTATCATGTATGCACCTATCGAATTTTGGTATATAAAAATTTTTAGCTAACTAATCTAAAACGCATTAATCAAATGCGCATTAATCGAGTGGTTCCTGTACTTATACAGGGTGTCGCAGAAATATCCCTCATATATACCTCCTAGAAATACCTCCCACATAATAGTAAGATATTAGTGGCAATGGTGTCTTCATCTATCAGGTTATCCCATACGTTCTGTCCGAATTTTAACTTTTTGTTAAAATGAACGAAATTTAAAGAGTATTTTATAATGTCTAATGGAGCTGAACATTATTTTTATGTTTAGATGCATTTAAACTGATCAAATATTATTTCAGAGAACAAT